AATAAACATAGCTGGACTGAATTTGCATTGTCTCTTGGAGTTCCTTGGGCTAGGCCCGACAGATCTAGAATATTAACTATTAATCATAAACTAGAAATACCAGTAGGAAGCCAGTTTGGTGTAGTAGTTAAGGCACCAGGCTAGAAACCAGAAGACTGTGAGTTCTAGACCCACCTTAGGCACAAAGCCAGTTGGGTGACCTTGGGCCAGTCACTTTCTCTCAGCCCTAGGAAGGAGGCAAGGGCAAACCACTTCTGAAACACCTTGCCAAGAAAGCTGCAGGGACTTGTCCAGGCAATCACCAGGAGTCAAAAACTGACCTGAAGGCATGCACATACAGAAATACCAGTGGAAGTTCATTGTGAAAAAGTTTTCTTTTAAGATGTGTTTCTGATTCTTTCAGTCACCTGGAAGAGAGAACTCAATGGGATCATCCAAAATCTGGGAAACGAAAAAGAGTTGCTGGAGGTTTGTGTTTTGCTTGTTAAATAGTGGTAAGATCTATCAACTGTTTGTGGGGGGAGTTCCCCAAACATTGGGAAAACAAAACCCTTTGTGGAAAAGTTGTAATAATTCCTGTATTACCAACAACAATTTTATCTATAGTTGATTATAATCCCCCGCCCCCCAAATATGTCTTCCTGGCAATTAGGAAATTTACTTTAATCATTGTCTTGCTGCATAAGCATTTCAGAGTTGGTCCTTATGCAATTTAACTTTAAAACTCTACAATCCAGCATGCTGCTGCTGTAGCAGCTCAAAATTAGTATTGATTTCTGATCTTTCATTGTTGTCTTTAAAAGAACTGAGTCTTGAGATAGAGAGATGGCACAAGATGGATGTAATTTTAGAATTTGGGGCTGGGGTCTAACCTGCAAGCATTAATGATCCTTTTTTCCCCCAGTATTTTCAAAAAGAACGAAATAAAAGCCAAAGGCCAATTAAGAGATCCTGCCACTTCAGAATAGAAGTAGACAGCTATGCTTGCCTGTATCAGTTGACCTGGAATAAGTCCCATGATGTGGAATGTGAATTTACTCTGAAGGGAATGAGCATAAAGAGGGTTTGCAGAGGTCCCCTAACCAACCCACCAGCAGTATCTCCATATTTAACACTGAAATGCCCCTTCTTCCCTCTGTGCTCAGAATAACCATTTCTGAGACTCCCTAGAAAAAGGCAGTCCTGGGGTAGAGGGTGCTGACTCAGGGAATAGGGCTCCAACCAGCATCATCCTGATCTGGTAGAACATCCAGGGAGAAACTTAGAGTCCCACATTTTCAAGAGGTTTGGGGGCCGGAGGCGAAACGAGTCTGTTTTTCTGTGCCAGGGCTCTCCTCCTATACTGACCACAGAAACATGGTCCTCTTGCTGCTGCATATCAGCAGCGTGATCTGATGCACTGGGGGCTGTAGATTACTCACCCTGACTTAAAAGTATTGTGCAAATGGCTTGCATCCTATTTCTTTCTTGGTTTTGAATGATTCTCTAATACCCTGTAGTTCGTTTACCATGTTCTATTCCAAACCACAAGGATGTTTAGCTCGACTTCTTGAACTGATGAAAGACTTAAACTGCAGCACTGAAACTCCTATATCTTATTCTAGACTTACCGTACGGATGGGAGCAGGAGACGGATGAAAACGGGCAAGTCTATTTTGTTGAGTAAGTTGTAATTATTTTGTACGCTTAGGGTTATGATGGCTTGGGAGCCAGTGTTAGACTAGGATGAGGGAGACCTAAATTCTGTCGCACTCTGTGCCGTGAAAGCTCCTTGGGAGAACTGGGCCTGTCTTTCTCTCTCGACCCAACCTTCTTCCTAGGATTGTTGTGGGGAAAAAATGGGAGAAAAGAATGCGATATGCTGTGTCTTTTGCTTTGACGGGCAAGATATAAATCCATTAACTCACCTGCTGACTGTGATTATGTTTTGTGTTTGAGTTTTCAATAGTGGTTTTAGTGTGGTTGTATGTTGTTTTATCTATATATTTTTTACTTCTGTTGTTTTTAATTGGTATGAGCTGCCCAGAATCATATATGTGAGATGGGTGGTATACAAATTGAATAAATAAATAAATAAATTCACCCGACTTGCTCTAGTCAAAGAAAGTGACACTGCAGGGCTTACATAAAAGTAAGGGTGTTTTCAAAAGGGATAGTCCTGGGTTTAAATATACAACGAAGCTGTGGAAAAAGCAGGAAAAGAGTGTGCCTGTGTGTGTTTTTCTGCTGTAGACTTCAAGGTATGATGATTATCAGAGACCGTAGTCTAGGGAGCTTTTAAAATTGCCTGTCGTGTTTCAAAACAGACAGTTGCTGTTTACATCTATTACTGCCTTCTGAGCTGTATTTACAGCAAAGAACCCCCTCCCCCTTAGAAAAAAACCTCTTCCAAATAAATTTATGTCGTGTTAGTGTAATGCAGTATTTCTCAGCCTTGGCAACTTGAAGATGTGTGGGCCCCAACTCCCAGAATTCCCCAGCCAGCCATGCTTCCCATTCTGGGAGTTGAGGTCCACATGTCTTCAAGCTGCCAAGGCTGAGAAACACTGGTGTAATGGAACGAGATAACTTTGATGGGGAAACGTAGGAGCTGTTAAGGAAGAGAAATGAGAACTTAGTCCTGGGAAAGCGTGAGAGAGAAACTCAAAATAACCTTGCATTGATTCTGTTTGGCATTAGAAGGAGTAAAGAAAAATTAGCAGGCTTTCAAGATTCTGTTATTTTACCCTACAACAATAAAGCAGCAATCCAGTAATCCTTCTGTTATCGGTTCCCTGATGGGGCCTACCTTGAAGGCTGGACACTATTTAGGGTTAGAATAGCATTTTAACTGCGAATGTAGGTAGGGCTGAGTAAGCTTTAAAAAGTTGCTTTCATTTATCAGGGTTCATGGCTTCCTTCAGGAGCTGAACATAGTTCTTGTAGACTTCCTCATTTTGTCCTTGCAACAATCTTCTGAGGTAGGTTAATGGTGGCTTGGTTCTTACATTGCACAGTGCCATGGTTTGTTTTAACCTTAGCTTGTTGAATGTCCCCACTGGTTTTTTTTTGAGCCAGTCACTGGGTGCACTCACACAGTAAGCCCTAAATCATGGAGGACGGAGCTAACGCATTATGCTAAACCAAACTATGCCATGGCTTAGTGTAACTGTGAGATGAGCTGCAACTGGCCAGAGTGAGCTTCACAACTGAGTGGAGACTTACATCTAGGTTGTCACAGACCTAGTCCACTGCTCCAGTTGTTATGTAACATAGCTTATTGCTCTGACTAGGTTTGCTCTGACTTTGAGACATCAATACGTTTTCCTTTGCTGCCGTTTATCTTCAGAGCAAACAGGGAGCTGGTTGAAACTAAAAAAATAGATTGTGGAAATAAGACTTAAGGCCCATATTGTTAATTTACTCTTAGAATGAAAACTTCTCAGCAGAAGGAGAGGAAAAATTGATTGGAATGAGGAGTTACAGTAGTAGGTGGCAATTAATAGAAAGACATTCTCTTTACCGTGTTTTTTTAATACAACAGGTTATGTTTCTTTTTTAAATTATATAGTTTTTATATGAATATAATGTGTGTGTGTATATATACACACACACATACATACACCAAATAGTAACTTAAGAATATAATACCATAAACTATTTTTTTTCCAAAGAAATGTTAACTCTGATATTTTTGAAGTGTAACAGAATAAAAATGGTAAGAAAATCCTCTTAAAGTATCTTACTTTCTATCAAAGGTAATGGCAAGGAAAATACGTGTAATACTATTAGGCTGTGTCTGTTGTTGATTAAATCCAGTGCTGATACATTTTGTTAAGATGGAGTAAGTGTGCAGCCCCTCTGCATAATTCCATATGCCTTTGTAATACAGACACTTTGCTTGCCAGTGTATGCTGAAATTATTAATTACTTTATTCCGCCTTGCTGTGAAGAAGGATTAAGAAGTTGCATTGCAAGGCAAAACAATATGCTCATGAAATCAAGGAGACTCTTTAAAAATATTAAAAGTGATGAAGTCCTGGTTTCAAAGACTAAGCAAAATAAAAGTGTCTTGATGCCTTGTTAAAAAAAATCTGGAAGGATGAATGTGGACTGTTCCTTTAAAGGAGGTCATCCGACAGTTTGGAAGTGACACAGGAGACGTCCTTTTCCTGTAGACCGTGAGAATGGGCCTTTGAAAGTGGAGAGATTCTAAAAAGGGCCGCCAGGACCATTTTCCCCCATCTTCCTGTTGGTGAAAAGCAGGCCCAACCATGAAATAATATATATCATGTGGTAGGCTATCTTTCCGGCATAAAGAATTTTTTGAAATATTTTTACACACCCTGAGAAGGTACTCAGCATCAGAACTATAGCAAAAGGAAGAGTTGTGTTCTTGTAAGTAGTCCCTGTGTAGCTTTGATTTAACTGAGATTGGGTATCCTAAAGTGTCAACTTGATTTTCAGAGCATTGCAAAGAGAGATTGCAATTAGAGGCTTCCTATGAACTTGTTTTGAGTTTCAGCATCCAGGAACTCATTGTTTTTTAGTCATTCTTGTTTACTCATACTGTATTTATACCAATACCTCTTCTGAAAAGCTGTAAGACAGTTGTACCGATGCAGAGATCTAAAGTAGATAGTTGATCTTTACTGAAGCAGGTTCAATAGAATAGAAGGCTCTCAGCATTTAATTGCGCACTACTTCTCTGGATTATGAAACTGAAAAAAAACCCAAAACCTCATTGAACTGGGATCCTCAGTTTGATAAAATTGATTCTCTTGATTGCTTCGAGTTTGAGTTTACATTTTGATTTAATATATGACTCTGTAGCTGTGCTTGTGGTAATAGAAGAAGAAATTGACATGGAAAAATGCTTCTTGTTTTCCTTTGAAGCCATATAAACAAAAGGACCACATACCTTGATCCCAGAATGGCCTTCACGGTGGAAGACAATCCCATGAAACCCAACGTGAAGCAGAAGTACGATGGCAACACCACTGCAATGGAAGTATTAGAAGGCCGAGACTTGAGTGGGAAAGTGTTCATAATCACAGGAGCAAATTCAGGAATAGGTAAGTCAGCGCTACAGCCAACCTTGAGCGTGTTGCGTTCAACCAGTGTGTGTGTTGGACCCCTGTGGTTCCCTCCTCGGTGGTTCCTCACATCTTTTCTTTACAAATGACTGGAGGAGAAAGGGTCATCAGCCCTATCTGATGTATTGCTTCCTTCCGAAAGGACATAACAAGGGTGTGCATGTGTTGGGATCCAAAGCTGGAAAGGTGTTTCAGATCAGGTGTGGCCATGCTTGTTGCGCCTGTCTGTAGCACTTTAAAGGAGCCTGCCTTGACTATGCACCCACTGTGCGAGACCAAGAAAAGATACGGCTTGTTTCAGGTGCTGCTGACAGGTATGGTAAATATACTCACCTTTCTTACCCTCTGAGTACTGCATCCCTCTAGCTGACAATCTAAACTTTAAAGTATTTGCAGGAAAACAAATCTCCCTAATTTCAACTGAACTTTAGATGCCAGGATAATTTATCTGTGTAGGAAATGATTCACTTTCTTTCTTATTAGGTTTCTAAACCACTGGGATATTTCTTATTTGTACTGGGGGATGAAATCCAGAAGTATAGTTGTCTACTAAAAGAAGAAATGATGGCTAAGGACTTCCCCATGCGGGGAATCCTGTTCTTGCTTGGTCTTAAATAAGGAACACTCCAGATGGTTTAGACAATCTTTCTCCAACCTAGTGCCAACCTTGGATGCGTCAGAACAATAGTCCTCAATGTTTCCACCCAGGAGAGGTATTATAGTTCCTAGCATGCTTTCTGGGTTGATAAAGGGTGGTTGAGAGTTCAAGATCACCCTTTACTTTTAGCTTTTTGCTTTCTGGATAGCTTTGCTTAGTATTTAGTCTCCCATTGTTGCCAATTACTCATAGTGTGATTAAAGCAAATGGCCGAGTCAATGCAAAAAGGCTTCAGGAGCATGTGTCACGGAACAATCTAGTCTCCTACATTAATCTGAATCCTCCATTCTCATGCATTCAGTTCAGAAATTAATAACCAAGTTTTGCTTGTCTACCGTAAAATGTTTCTAAGCCATGTATTAAAATAATCTTTAATTTACTAAAGATGTCTTCAGCTTCTTTTTTGTGTATCTGCAGCTAAGTTAAGAAAAACTCCTCTTTTTTTTTTGTATTTCAGTAAAAAGGTGATGGGTTTCTTATTATAAATGCATTTTCAAAATTTTATTGCTTTTGGTCAGCTCCTGCTTCATAACCACCTTGCCAATGAAACTGTATCTGGAATAGCTGAAAGTGTTAGCTAGGAGAGGCTGGGGATATAGACGTCATGCTAAGTCATAGTTTGTCTGCATCGTTGAATAAACCATGATCATTTGGGTTCACACAGTGGGCAAAGAGTTAATATTGATTATTTGACTTTGGCTTAATGCAAAGGGTGTATATGTACTAATGTACATAAGCCACTGTTTTTACCTTAACGTGAAGTGTGAATCCAGCCAGCTATTAAGTGCTCAACAAACTCTGGTTAAAAATCATGCTCAGCACAATGTATGAACCTTCTAAAAATCAAAAAGGTTGCCATGCAAAAGGGTGAGCGCTGGTGCTCCCCATTGCTTTAAAATGCAAGACTCAAAAGTAATGGCTGGAAATTGCAGGGAAGCAGATTTCAGCTACTGATGGGAATACATTTCTTAACAGCGGTAGATGTTCAATAGTGGGACAGACTGCCTTGCCAGTTGGTGGACTGTTTTGCATGACACCTTTAAGCTGAGTTTAGGTAACTATCAAGTCTGCTATAGAAACATCCTGCACTGAGCAGAGAGCTGGACTAGATGTTGATGGATGTCTACTTGATGTGCCATCAAGTAGTTTTTGACTCCTAGTGATCCACCTTGCTGTGGCTATCCTCCTCCTCTTTTCCGAGCATTAGAGACTTTTCCAGAGAGCCTAGTCTTCGCATAATGTGTCCAAAGTAGAATAATTTGAGCCTGGTCATTGGTGAGAACTCTGGATCGATGATCCATCGATTTGTTTTCTTGGCTGTCCATGGTATTCTCAGGAGTCTTCTCTGGCTCCAAAGTTCAACAACGTCAGTATCCTTCCTATCCTACTTCTTCAAAGTCCAACTTTCACTTTTGTAGAGGGTCACAGGGAATCCCATGGCTTGCACGATTCTGATCTTCGTAGGTGATTGAGTCAAATGCAATTAAATGATTGTATTTAATCTTCCAAATGCAAACTCAGAGCTGACAGATTTGAAACTTGTTGGGTACAAAACTGAATAAAAAGGATTAGCGCTAATCTAAGCTGTACTCGATCTCTCTATCTGGGGGGAAAGAGATAGAGTTAAGTATTTAAAAATACCAGAGGAGAATGGGAGAAAGCATTAGTGAAGAGTTTTGAATATGTGTATTTATTTAGTTTTAAAGAGCTGGCAAAAACTTCGTTGTTCGTGATCCAGGATGTCTGTTCTATCAAGCATCTTTCTATAAAGGTGAACACATGTTAATCTCTTGGTAGCAAAAGTTGTGGTGTTACTTCTCTTTGTTGGCTCTATTGCATAGAAAAGCAGGATAAAAATGCTGTTAACGTATATTTAGTGGTCCTGGTGCATCATTTTAGAATTGTTTTTTGGTCCCCACTAGAGGGCTCTGTTGTTCTTTAGAAAAATAATGTTGGCGGAAGATATCAAAGCTCTTTCAAAGTTGACCAAAACAAAGATTAGTTTTGACTGGGCTATTTTATATTTTAATTGCTGGTGCTAAAGTTCAGAAGTGGAAAGGTATAGGAACTAATCTCTACTAATAATTGAATTCAACTTTATTGGCAAACATGCCTGGCAGGATGAAACACAGTGTAAGTTAATAGCAGCCCCACATTTTTAACTGAAGGTAAAGATGGATGTGGTTATCAAAGCACTAACCTTTGTCTTTATCTAAAACTTTTTTGTATGCCCTTGAAGTCTCATGTAGGCTAGTTCTGTCTGAGGTCTTACAAGAACTGTGTGGTACTCCTGTAATTCTTTCTCACTTTCCTAAACACTGAAAAGGTTTTCTAAGTACAGGTAGTCCTCGTTTAGCGCCTGTCTTGTTTAGCAACTGTTCGCAGTTATAACGGTGATGAAAAAGTAACTTTGCGACCAATTCTTGCATTTATGACCTTCACAGGTCCAGAAAGCAAAGGAAAGCTGAAGTAAGATCGTAAGCACAGTTGCGGTTTCACTTAGTGGACGCCTTGCTTAACAACCAAGTTGCTGGTCCCAATTGTGGTCATAAACGAGGACTACCTGCACTTCAAAATAGATTGTAATGTTTTGAAAGCCTGGTGAAAAAAATAAAAAAAATAAACACGCCTGCGCTATACATCTCCTTTTCCACTAAACCTTTTTTGCCTTTGAGATTTAATATAATTGAAAAGCTGTGTGCAACTGCACTGATGCCTGATCTTCATTTTTGCATGAATGAATTCGTATGCAAAAACGGAAGACTAGAGGCAAAGATGGAAACTTAACAGTCCAGTTAAACATCATTTTGTTTTCAGTTTTTTTTTTTTAAATTAAATCTTATTATTCCTTAGTGAATTGATGAGAGAAAAGATTTACACATCATGGCAAAGTGCTTGGAAACAGTGCAGTTAAATCCATACACTCCAAAGGAAAAGTCAAATGTTCAGTTCTCAAGTTTTAGTTATTCCTTCCTTCTACCTATCAAGGAATTTGAGATTGGGGTGGAAAGGCAAGACAAGTTTATAGAACACAGCTTCTGGAATTCTTTCCCACCCCTTAAAGCTTGGCTATAAAGCACAAGACTAGGAACAAAAATGAAGCAGGGCTTAGAATGGAGAGATAGGTAACAATCTGAGCCATTCCCTACCGCCTCTTCCATAGGAATCCATTGGAGGTTTTGTTTTTTCCCCCCACAGCCCTGTCTAGATCAGGCCCACGTTCAAACTCAGTACTTCTTTGGCTGACTTTTTCCTCCATTAGCAAATCTGGCCCACCTTGAAGTAGTTTTCAGAAAGTTATCTTGCTTTTTGATAATGGATGGAGCCCTGAGACCCTTAACCCGACTTCTTTCCAACATTCCGTTGAGTTGGACCGAAGAAAAAAAAAAGAAGAAAGAAAAGTTAAAAAAAAAAAAAAAACATTTCTGTATTTGCCCTCTCTGATAGTTGCATAAATCTATAACTACTTGGTAGTTTCTTTTTTTGGGGGGGTGGGGGTTGCTTTTGAACTGTGTTTACTTTGATTTTGCTTTGTTTTGAAGTTGCCTATTAATTAGGCATTGCTGGTGTAAGCAGCTGTACACATATGCCAATCACATTGTGTGGTTGCATCTGCTTTAAGAAATCAGGAAGAGAAAACGGGCAATTCTGAAGCGCTTTTTAGATTTGCTTCTTCTCTCTAGCCTTTCTGTAGTGGCCTCGTGGCTGGGAGGAGGCTTTTTGTAAAGTTGATGCCTGAAATGGAAACAGACAGTAATGGTACATGGCGTAGGCAAAACTAGGTGGCGAGCGTTTGTGTTAAAATTTATTTTAGAATGCAGACACCTGCAAAGAGAAAATGAATTGGAATGCATTCATTGGAACCGAAGTGGCAGATGTGATCAAATTTTTGGATTCAATTTTGGATCTGTGAAACTGGTATCGGAGCAGAGATTATTCAAATTGGAAGCGAGGTTGAATTAGGAGTCTTGTTTCCTTTCCATAGTCTTCAGAAGTTTCGATTGGCAGATCTTTAAAACTAGGGCAGTGGTAATATAAGCAAGACCTTTAGGAATAATAACTTTGATTGTGATGAAAAGAATTCTAAAACTGAATAAGGGATAGTCTACCCCGGGGGTTTCAACCTTGGCAACTTTAAGATGTGTGGACTTCAACTCTCAGAATTCAGTGCTGGCTGGGGAATTCTGGGAGTTGAAGTCCACACATCTTAAGGTTGCCAAGGTTGAAAACCCTGGTCTACACTAAATTGGTCCTTGGGCTGCATCTGTCCTTCCAGAGAATGATGAAAAATATATTAAATGTCCTATCTTCTGGCCAGATC